AATGTAGAGTATCAGTGCATGAATTGTGAGTCCCAGTGATATGGTGACTGCACCTCAGCATCAACACATGAGGGTTGCCTAATTTGCATATTTATCAGACCTGCAGCCAGGTTTGAGGGGGTGGTGGAGCCTGCATATGTGCCAGTCCAATCAAGAGCAACACCTCATTTAACTAATTTGCATGTAGCCAATCATAGTGAAGACATGAATGGCAACTCCCTTAGAGGAACTGTAGTATGATAAAAAAATATTATATATGTAATTGGGGCTCCTGAGTGGCTCCTTTGGTTAAGTGTCTGACTCTTGATTCAGCTCTGGTCATGATCTCTCGGTTGGTAAGTTCAAGCCCCGCATCAGGCTCTGCACTGAGAGTGCGGAGCCTGCTTGGAATTCTCTCTCTCTCTCTCTCTCTCTCTCTCTCTCTCTGCCCCTGCCCCACTCTTGCTCTCTCTCTCTCTCTCTAAATAAATAAATAAGTAAACTTTAGAATTTATGCTAATGAGGTGACTTAGGGTGGGTGGCCCCCAAGATAGTTTCAGGATGGGGGCTGATCACCAGAAACGCCAAATATGTGATTTCAGCTCCACACCCACCCTGACCTGGGAGGAGGGAGAGAGGGCTGACTATTGGATTATAAAAACTCTTTTACAACGAGATTCAGAGAGCCTCCGAGTTGGTAAATACATGAAGGAGCAGGGTGGGCGGGTACTGTAGCTGCAGAGGGCACGGAAGCTCCGTGCCTTATCCCCATGCCTTGCCCCATGCGTGTCTTCCATTTGACTGTTTGTTTGTATCTTTTATAATAAGCTGGTAAGTGTAAGTAAAGTGTTTCCCTGAGTTCATTCTAGCAAATGACTGAAACTGGGGGGTGGGGCGATTGTGGGAACCCCGGAGTTTATAGTCAGCCCAGCAGAAGTGTGCGTAGCCCAGGCACCCCATTTGCAACTGGCATCTGAAGTGGGGCTAGTCTTGTGGGACTGAGCCCTTTAAGTTGTAAGATCTGAGGCTAACTCCAGGTAGACAGTGTCAGAATTAGGTTGACTTGCTGGACACCCAGTTAGAGAATTGGCTGTTGGCGTGGAAAAAACTACACACGGGAAACACTTACAAAAACGGAGTTCTCCGCTACAGAGTGTAAGAGCCATGCTGGGTGCATGCTGTCTCTCAGCAACATGCACAGAAAAGTTTGAAATAAAGGGCAAGTGTCCATCAGGAGGCTCTGCGTGCTGCCATGAAGAGCTTCAAACCAGAGCTGCTGCAGAATAACATTCGGGGAGCCAGCACTGTTGGCGAGAGAGCGCGTCTATACCAGTAAAGCAGACCACCACAGGCATCGCCTAGAGCCGTGGCCCGTTTACTTCTGCCCCGAAGCAATGCGTATGATTCTATATTAGGATCTTTTGTAATGTCTTTCTTTTCTTTTTTTAGTTTATTTTGAGAGAGAGAGAGAGTGCTCGTGCGCATGAGCAAGCAGGGGAGAAGCAGAGAGAGAGAGAGAGAAAATCCCAACCAGGCTCCCCTTGTCAGCTCGGAGCCCCATGCGGGGCTGGAACTCACAAACTGAAACTGGGATCGTGACCTGAGCTGAAATCAAGAGCCGGTCGCCCAGGCGTCCCTGTTTTAGGATTTTTTATGTTGAATAACCATATAATAAGTGTGAATAATTTGGAAATGCTACCCATCTTATCCTGGGTCCTCTGAAAAACCGAGTTGGATGCAAGGACTAAGGACTAAGGTGCTAACACTTTGGGAGAAGAAGGAAAGGGAGGGAGGCCAGGGGAGGTGGAATGCACTGTGTGATGTGTGACCGAGCTGACGGTATCCTCACAGTAAGCAAGCATGTCCCTCTGCATGGGGATGTGGCCAGAGGGTTACAAGGAGGAATGGCACCTTGGAGCAGTCCCAGGGGAGACAAACGAGGCAGAATTTACCTGCCCAGCTGCTCCCCATCTCCTATTTCTTGTTGGCCAAGTTTCACCTCAGTTGGAGTGAAATCACCCATTCTTAGGGGTTCGTCACCAAGTTCCTCGGTGGTGCGATCCGTGCCTTGTGATGTGGCATTTTCTCCTATTCTAAAAGCGGAGCGTCGCCCAGTGCTGGTGGTGTGCCGGACAAGAGGACCAAAGCCGATTGCTGAGTGAATCTGAGCAAATACTCAAGGTCTGCACCTGCAGATGCTCTTCTGTTTGGGATCCAAAGTTGCTTTGAAGCCCGGAGAATCAGTACAATGTGTTCACTGCATTGACACACTTTCTCCCTCTGTAAAATGAGGGAGCTGAGGATGACCTTCATGTCTCCCTACTCCAATTCTGGGGCGGGGGGGTAGGAAGGCCACCAGAGGCCCAGCACAGCTCACTCACACCTCCGCCTTCGGCTGCCTGTGACCACACCCCCACAAGCCATCTCCCAGCACAGCCCAATAACAGAACTCACATTCCCCAGTAACCACTTACTGTACGCCAGGGACCCGTAAGTGAATCAGATCCCGTCTCTACTGTTTGATTGCTAATAATAGCCGCCCCTAATATCATCTTTTATTGTAGCAACAGCTTTGTGTCTGGCGTATAAGCATGAACATACACACATGCATCTTGTTTAATCCTGCCCACAACCTTGAAGTTATGCATCATTTCCCCATGTTACAGATGGAAAAACTAAGGCTTGCACTTGATCTTAGCCAAAAGGCCGAGAAGCGATGGAAAAACTAAGGCTTGGATAATGCTCTGGGATTTGCCCAAGACCACGAAGGAGTAGGAGGAGCCTGATGTAGACTTAACCCATACTATAGTTTGAATATTATGGGGAAGTCAACTGAAGAACATACTAGAGGGATGCCCATTTTTCCTTAATCAGGCAGCTTTTCTCAATATACTCTAAAGTTGTTTGTGGCCAATGCCCCTGCACACACTTCAGGCTAAGGGTCCTGGGTGGCCTCCTGTCTGGGTATGAGTGTGTGTGTGTGAGTGCTTACCCCCTTCCTCTCCTCAGTGCAGCACAGCCTGATAGCTAGAGGGCTGAGCTTCGGCCCCCATTATGGGTCATCATCCAAGCAGAGCTCAGGAGCACACAACTCTTAGGCTGAACTTGTGCCATCAGGCTTTGGGGTCCTCTTGTCCTTTGCCCACACTTTGCAGCCCTCCTCCCTGGTGAGACGCTCCCTCCAGCAACTGGTCTGGAGCATCTGGCCACACCTGAGAAACAGAACCCAAATCACCCTGGTCTGGGGCTGGTGTTGTATGAAGAGTGCCTCTTCCAAACTCTATCAGGAAGTAGACACCTGGGGCACCACGGTCATTCCCCTCAAGGGAACAAACCGCCATGCTTAATAAGTGGAAAGATTTTTTAAGCCAGGAAGCCTGCTGCTCTAAATTTGCTAAAACTGGGTCAATATTTGGCTTCAATCCCGAGGACAAATATCAGTATGGAGAAAAGTTTTATAGTTGTCAGTGTTCTACAGACCAATGAATGTGGCCAATTACACGTTGTACAGATGGGCAGTGAACTGGGTGTTTGAAAATGTTACCTTTCATTTGTGTAGAAGCAAAAGACACATTTTTAGAAAGTATTTTCAGAAAGAGAAAAGTGGCACACTATAAAAATAAAATGGAAGAGATGAGCCTGATAGGTGGCGATCAACATTCCATAACAAAACCGCGTCTTGTTTGTTGAACAAGTTTTTGCCCACTTGCAATGCTCTGTGAGTGCTTTCCCCAAGTGGGGGTTCTCACTGAGGAGAGAGGGAGGGTTTGGGAATCTCTTTGGTCTCTCCTCTCCTTCCCCCCCAGGATCCCCCACCAATGTGAGGTCTGGTGCACTGGCCCACCTGGTCTCCTGTTCCTCCCCACCCACCCCACTGGCCATCCTTCCCGGGACAGGCAGTGATATGATGCATTCAGCACAGTGACTTGCCCAGGGCGAGCCTCTCTCCCACTTCCATTTCTTTCTGTTTTTTTTAAGCTTTTCAATGTTTATTTATTTTTGAGAGAGAGAGAGACAGAGACAGAGACAGAGTGCAAGTGGGGGAGGGGCAGGGAGAGAGGGAGACAGAATTCGAAGCAGGCCTCAGGCTCTGAGCTGTCAGTACAGAGCCCGATGCGGGCCTCGAACCCAAGGACTGAGAGATCATGACCTGAGCTGAAGTCAGATGCTTAACCGACTGAGCCACCCAGTCACCCCTCTCCCAACCCCATTTGGGTGCCTAGCGTATCCTGGCTTGAAGGTTGGGACCCGGGTCTAGACTGAAGGCCTCTGGGAAGGGAAGATGCTTGACTTGACTTTGTGGGTCATCTCTCTGGATCGGAAGAGGATCCATCTGGCCGGAGGAGCAACCTGGTAGTTGGTGGGTCCCATAAATACGTGCCAAGTCTTGGGGCTCATCCACCTCCACCTCCCCATTGGCAGTTCTGCACTTGCCCTGTGAGTATCCCCATACTGGAAGGACCGGATTTATTTATTAAATAAATAAAAAGAACATTATAATGGTTGAGAGAGAAATCGCGGAGAAAAGGAAAAAGCCTTCCTTTCTGCTTTTTGAACAGGAACGCTATAATTTCCCTTTGCACTTGGCCTGGCAAATTATGTAACCAATCGTGGATGCAGGTTGTGCTGGAGCCAGCTCTCACTGGCTCCCAGCTCCATGTTCAGTGACATCATGTTAGAAGCTTAAAAGGGCCATGGTGGTAAGAGTACAGAAATCAGGCAAATGCTGCAAAACAGGACTTTTTTTTTTTTTTTTTTTTTTTAAGAGCTGATTGTTAAACATTTACCAGCACACCATTACAGAGCATTAAATAACACTAGAAACTTCCTACTCTTGTACTGACTAAACCCAAAGGCCCAAACTTCTATGGAGACAGTGTGGAGCCCTGGAAGGAAGGCCAGGGAAGAAAGCCAGGGACTGACCCAAACCACTTCACCACTGTTACCAGGATGAGGAAACAAGCTCAGAGAGGTAATGGGACTCCCCCACGACCACACAGCAGGACAACTGCTGAGCTTACATTTGGATCCAAAGTCCTGGCTCTTCGGAGAGGCTCTTTAGAGCTGCATGTCTCCTGTCCCTGCACAGCACCTAGCGCAGGGTCTGAACTTCGGGAATAACTAGGACCAAAGTGCTCGGGAGGAGCAGGCAGGAGGGGAGCTGGGGGAAGGACCCAGAAGTCCCAACCCTGCAGTTTTGTCCTCTTCCAGGACCTTCACAGCCTGAGGCAGAGGCCTGTACAAATGAGCAGCAGGACAGAACGTTCCAGCAGCCAGTGACTACATCAGAGGCACAAATATTTGCTAAGCCCAGGGGCCTCCCAGACATTCTGGCAGGATTGGGGAAAGCAAGTGTATGGAGCCTCTCCCTGTGGGGCCAGGAAATCCAGAGAAGGTAAGAGCCCCTTGAAGAGGTGTCCCCTGACCCCATTCTCTTTGTCACGTTTGTATACTAGGCTCTCACACCCGTAAGCACGTAAAGTCCTATCACAAAGCACCTTCTCAGCCGTGAGCAGAACAGAGAGCTGACCCCCCCTTTTACAGATGAGGAAAGCCAGGCCCACACAGGGAACAGACTGTGTGAAAGGGCTGGGAAACGGGAGAGCCTGAAGTGGAGACAGGACCAGAAAGCTAACACCCAGCACCAACACTCTCCCATCCTGCACTGGGTCTGCTGCCCCCTTCCTCAAGAACTTCCCTTAAGCCTTGGACTAGTTGGATCCTTAAGCTTGGACTAGTTGGTAGTCCCTGACCGACTGCCAGACCATCTTCTCTGGTCAGACCTCCCGTACCCTTGTTTCTTCTCCTCTCTTCTTACCTCCCAGCTCCGGGAGCCCTTGCAGCCCCACACTCTCCCCCAGTCTTGCCCTTCCTGCCTTGCCTAGCTCAGACCTCCAGTCCGGGAAGCTGTCCGGGACTGTTCCTGCCCACAGGGCTCTTGCCCTCACAGGAGTGGGAGCATGAAGGACTGGAAGCAAGGGTCTGGATCCTAGGTGCAGCTCTGTCACCAACTTGCGGGGTGACCTGGGGCTACCTTGCGAGTCTCAGATTGCTCATCTGGACTCAGCTCTCCTGCCTCACCAGGGAACTGAGAGCCTGGGTGGGAAAATCCTGGCAGTGGACACAGGCCACAGCTGCTGGGGTTCTTGTTGGCATCAGCATTGTCCAAACTTTAGGCTCCATTCAGATCCATTGTCATCCAGCCACACCTTGTATTGTCTTCTGCCTCTGGGGAGGGCGAGGGGCTAGGGGAGGCCAGTGTGTGGCCTGAGAGCTCACCCAGCTCACCCAGCTGGGCTGGGTGCTGTGGGCCCAGCAGCCCCTGCTCCTCTCCACTGGCTCCAGTAAGCCAGACCTGGGTGTGGGGTTTGGGGGGCCTGCAGCAAGAGGGTTTGGAGGCCACCCTGAGTCCCAGCCCCTAGGCAGCTGGGTCCTTCAAACCCCCAGGGTGTTAACAACTTTTCCCAGTTAAGAACAAATTCCCTCTCCATGCCAACAAAATTAGAAAGGGCCCCTGGGAAGTGCTGGAGTCTTCCCTCCCCCCACCCCACCACCAACCCTCACAGACTCTTGAAGGGCCACAATGCATAGAATCAGAGACTGTCACAGCAATGCACCGTAATTGTACAGATGAGAAAACTAAGACCTAAAGAGAGACGGGGACTCGCCACCACCGCGTGGAGACGCTAGTGTGTTCAGAGGGAGGGCCCTTGTCTTGAGGCTTCGTGGGCCTTCCAAGCGCCAGCTTTTTATTTAGTTGTAATGTTATTTTGAGTTGCTTTGGGGGATTAGGCCCTTTCGGAGTCACCCATTGGCGCCGCCACTGCTCCGGGTCTTGGACGTCTGAGGTTTTTGGAAACGAGACCAATTCCCACGGGCGCCGAGCGACCTCCTGGAGCGGGTTCCGAGGTCCTGGACTTTCGGATGTCCCAGGACTCAGCTGGGCTCCCTGAGGGAGCGGGGCGGACTCTGGGGGCGGGGCTCCGGGGGCGGGGCCAGTGACTGTGACCCCGCCCCCCGGCCTGAACCCACTCCGTAAACAGGCGGCCGCGGCGCCTGGGGGCTTCTGCTGCAAGCCGGGCGCCGAGTTACATCACGGTTCCCGGGAGCTTCCTGCCCCGACGGCCAGGTCCCCGTGGCCCTCGCCTGCCCGCCTGACGCCGGTGTCCGAGGAGCAGAGGGTGGCGAGGCGCCCGCCTGCCCTGGCCTGCTGGCCTGCGCTCTCCCCGCAGGCCCGTGGGGCTTCGTGGCGATCTGGCTCGGCTGGAAGGTGGGGCCTCTGCCTCAGCCGCGCAGAATCTGCGTCTCCGTTTCCCCATCTCTGAAACCAGGGGCTGCGTTAGGAGTGGGTGTCTCCCAGTTGGGGGACGAGGAGATGCTCCTTGAGCCTCGGGCGAAGGGCGGCCCTAGGAGGGGCAGTGACTCTGACTTGGCTTTCGACTTTAGCCAAGTGGTGGCTGCTCACAAAGCCACCTGACTCAGAAGGCAGTCGCGGCCCCCGAGGGCCTTAGGGACCACTCAGCCTCGCAGAAGAAGGATGACTTTGTAGTATCCTAGCCTACCCCTCTCCCCACTTGTTGCGGACACAGACCCTCTGGGTAAAATGAAAAACTTGGTCTCAGGCTACCACTCTCCCAGAGCTTTGGAAAAGATACTCGGTTGCACAACCTGGAGGGAGATTTCTGCGCAACAACAGCTTCCCCCTTGGGGCCTGAGAGAAACAGGCTGCCTGAGGAGGCAGGGGGCACCTTGCGCTTGGGAGACACCCAAGCAAATGTGGGCCAGAGCTGGTGAGGGAGGCAGTAGAAAGGATGCTTGCTGAGATCTCCGGGGGCTGCCCAGTCCTGGGACTTGACTATTTGGTGATTCTGCACCTACGTTGTCCAAAAAGAAAAGCATTAGCCACATGTAGCTGTTGAGCACTTGAAATATGGTGTGGGGACCCACTCAGAACCCCAGAGCTGGCATGAAGATTATCTTAAGACATTTGAGATTCAACCAATGCAGGAAAAAGGCTTCCTCAGAGCTTCCCTTATCTGACTAAGAGCATCAACTTCTGGGAAGTGAGGCTACCATAAATCCTGTCTTCAAAAGAGCTTTATGGCCCAGAAGAAGATGAGAGACCATCCATACCCGTATAGATAAATATTATCACAAACTCTCTTATCTTATGTTCTCCTAAAAGTCCATTTGTCTTTGCTAAAGAAATCTATTTGTTTTTCCCATTGAACCACTTCCCTCCACTCACTTTTCCCTACTAAGGTCTGTAAACCTTTACCTGTAATAGTTTAAGGAGACTCCTACTTCCTTTGTTCCTTTGTTGGCTCCTGTATGCATACCAATACCCCTTTTCTCCTGTTAATTTGCCTTTTGTCAATGGAGTCCCAGCAACTGCACCTAGGAGGGTAGGGGAAACTTTGTTTCCCTCCCCTACAGTCACTAGTCCACATTGATAAGTGCAAGAAGTGTAAAATACACACAGGATTTCAAAGATAGCATGAGATAAAAGAATGCAAAATAGGGGCGCCGGGTTGGCTCAGTCGTGTGAGCTTCCGACTTCAGCTCAGGTCATGATCTCGCGGTTCGTGGGTACGAGCCCCACATTGGATTCTGTGCTGACAGCTCAGAGCCTGGAGCCTGCTTTAGATTCTGTCTCCCTCTCTCTCTGCCCTTCCCCCACTCACGTGCTGTCTCTGTCTCAAAAATAAATAAACATTAAAAAAAAGAATGTAGGGGCGCCTGGGTGGCGCAGTCGGTTAAGCGTCCGACTTCAGCCAGGTCACGATCTCGCGGTCCGTGAGTTCGAGCCCCGCGTCGGGCTCTGGGCTGATGGCTCAGAGCCTGGAGCCTGTTTCAGATTCTGTGTCTCCCTCTCTCTCTGCCCCTCCCCCGTTCATGCTCTGTCTCTCTCTGTGCCAAAAATAAATAAAACGTTGAAAAAAAAAATTAAAAACACCAAATTCATTAAAAAAAAAATAAATAAATAAATAAATAAAATTAAAAAAAGAATGTAAAATGTATCATTAATAACTCCAAGTATTGGTTACATGTGAAATCATACTTTGGATAAGTTGGGTTAAATAAAATATATTATTAAAATTAATTTCACCTGGTTTTTTTTTACTCTTTTCATGTCTACTAGAGAAACTTTAAAAAAAAATATGCGGTTGGCATTATGTCCCTATTGGAAAGAACTACTAAATGTCAGGTAACCTTGTATCTTTGGGTTTGCTTTTACCAGACAACATCACCGGGCTTTATTAACTGAATGCTCTGCATCAGGTCCTGAACAGCTTCGACGGGGGGGCGGGCGGAGACGGGGGAGATACTGCGCCAGCCTTCAGGGAAGCTGCCAAGCCCCTCTTGGCTCTCAGCTCAGCCTGGCTGAGTCCTCCTGCAGTCCTGCCTCCACAGGACACTCAGGCCAGCAGAAGGCTGGGCAGAGGGCTCTGAGGACTGCCAAGGCTCTGGGAACTTAGGGAAGGAGCTTCATGCAGGGCAAGGGTTCAGAAGACAGTGTAGCCCATGGCCAGGAACCATGGTTGGCCCTTGAGAGCTGTTCCCATGGCCAGGACCACAGACAGGCCTTTCAGCTGCTCCAGTCCTAGGCCTCACTGCCCAGCACCTCCTGGCCGTCTCTTAGTGGCAACAGAGCCTTCCACCAGCCTTGCCAGCACCACCTGGCTGTGATGGAACAGGCTTCTCTGCTCTCTCATTCTCTTTGCCACCTCCCGGCCCCCAGGCTCTGCTTGATTAAAAGATATTTCTGATAGTCATTCAGGGGTACAGGTGGCAGTTTGGGGGAAAAAATATCCCAGGCTCAAAAAAGACAACTACAGCTGGTGTTTCTGATTAACAGCCCACACCTAGCAATTTGGAGGGATGGTCCTGCTTGGTATGACCCAGGTTTAACCCATGCAGCTGATACAAATGTGACAGCTTTACAGCCATGTAAAGCTAGCCAGACCTGTACATAGTTAAACAACCTTATCTAACATTCCTGTTTCTTCTCCTCTGTAAACGTGCCCATAATAATAATAGCCGACGCTCTTATCGTGCTTATTGTGTGTCAGGCACTGTGCTAGTAGCTTACATTGATGAATTCATTTAATTTGAATCCAACTAGATTTTAGGCACAAACAACAACCCTATGAGATAAGCACTATTTTTTATTTTTATTTTTTACTTATTTTTATTTTATTTTATTTTTTTGATTTACATCCAAATTAGTTAGCGTATAGTACAACAATGATTTCAGGAGTAGATTCCTTAGTGCCCCCTACCC